AGTTACTCATGGTTAATGAGTCTGGAAACGGTTCTCAACCAAACAAATAGCTCTCTTCTCTCTCTCTCTCTCTCTCTCTCTCTCTCTCTCTCTCTTTCTTTCTCTCTCTCTCTCTCTGACTCTCTCTCTCTCTCACACACACACACACATGTGCACACACACACATGTGCACACACACACTGTTAGTTGATAGAGAGCAGAGGAAATTTGTGACAGAAAATGACTCATCCCATCACAAATTCCTTAATATTAAATAATAGTGAAAGAATAGAATCCTAATTCTTTGAAAAGGGTATGTTCTTTGTCTTTCTTGTCAGGTATATGATTTGAGGGCATTTAAATAATAGTGATTAGAATACAGTTTAATCCCTTAAAATGTGTTTCATTTGTTTTCCAGTTTTGCAGCACTAGTGAGTTTATAAATAATTAGGAAATGGAGCAAAAATTCAAATGTAATTTATAATATGTCAAAATGTACTTTTACTTTGAAAATAAGAATATTTACCTTCATAATTTATAAACTATCATTCACAATAAAATAAGTAAGTAAATCATCTAAACATATTATACTTATAAAAGGAGATAATATACTTAGTACAGAAGTGAAGAAAGCATGTTCAAAGAAAGTATCAAAATGTCACTATTTAGTGGAACATGATAAAAGAGGGTACAGTTCAAACAGTGAAACCAGGTTTATGCTAGTGATAAAGTGTTTGACATTCTAGAGAACTACAGAAAAATATCCAGGCAGACCAATTTTTCCAATGTATATTTGAAATATCTGTCATGCTAAACATTAACTTCCTAAGCTATATTGACAGGATAACTCAGGAAAATTTCAGTTGATTAATGTAAGCTCAACTACACACAACCAATACAGTCTTGATGACTTATGATAAGAACATGCTTATGTCTTTATTAGCATGACTTAGCAACAGTTATAAGAAAATAGGTGCATATTGGTGAGTCAATAAACTAAACCAGGTGGCGGCACATGTCTATAACTTCAACACTTGGGAAGCTGAGACAGGAGGATCAGAAGGTCATTGTCATGCTCAGGAAGTTCAAGACCATACTGAGCACATGAGACCCTGATCACAAAACACACAAAAAAACAAGCAAACAAAAAGAAGACAGTTTGTCTGTCTCTGTATGAGAGATATTAGGAGAAAACAAGTCTTTACACCATCATTTTGTAAATGCCTGTCCAATATTTCAAAAAGGAAACAGTAAGATCCATAGAGCAGGATCATTAGGAAAATGGGTCTACAGGCCCTCTTCCTGATGTGTGAACATGAATTTATCATTCATAAGCTTACCAAGTATGAGTTAAAGTCAGTTTTCTGAAGGATAACTACTTAGCAACTACCTACTCAAGTGTTTAGACATGCATGGGAAATCTAAGAATCAATATGTCATTAGATTAATTTGAGTCTAACATTTCTCTCTGTCTTGGGATGAGCAATTTGATTCTGGGTCCAGTTCTATAGTATTTTGTAGTACAGACTGTAAAATCAGCAATGCTACCTTTAATTTTCTGTGCTAAATGTCACGTGAAACTGTGTTTGATTCATCTACCTTGTCTTTGATATGTGGCACCTAAAAAGATGGGCATCTCACCTCCCCTACCATTGCTCTTTTCTAATTTGCGTTTGTCTTAAATATTGTTTCTTGGGTATTTTATCAATATGATAATTGAAGTAAATGATTTG